TCCCGCCGCCGCTACTCGCCAGAAGTAGGGAGCGGTGGTGAGAATCGGCGAAGTTTGGCAACAAGAAGTGGGAGGAATAGAGGTCTAGGGGGGAGCGGAATACCATGGACTGACCTGGGAGGAGAGGAGAAAATTCAAGGAGAGGAAGAGAGAGGGGAGGAAGAGGAGGAGAGGGGCGCTGAGGACCAGGCGGAGGGAGAGGAGAGGGGGGAGGAGGGGAAGGAAAGGAGGGGGGAGCAGGAGGAGGAGGGGGAAGAGGAAGGGCGTAAGGGACACCCACACCCCACACACATCCACACACACACACACCCGCGCAGCCACATAGAGAGGGAGGAAGGAGAGCGACCCGGTGCGCGCGCGCAGAGAGCGAACCCGAGCCAGAGAGAGGGAGAGGGAGAGCGAGAGGAGAGCGAGAGCCAACCACCGCCGAGTCAAGATTCAGCGATTCCACAGCAATCGCCCTAATGACAACAGCCTCATAATATCTCCCCTAAATCCACAGTGAGTGCAGCATTGAAACATTTTGTTTCGCTTTTCTATTGGTCTGCGGCATGTCGTTGTGGGGTTGCCATGGCAACCACTGCCAATCACTGTCAGCCCTGCCAATCAATACCCAGAACGTAAGGACGGTTTTACCACTTAGCCAGAGTGGGGGGTGGAGAGGAGGAAAAGAGGGAGAAGGGGGAGAATTTTTTAAAATGTTTGCAACTCTTAATCTCGCCAAGTCCCCCACTTCTCTCTCTCTCTCTCTCTCTCTCTCTCTCTCTCTCTCTCTCTCTCTCTGAATTCCCTTCTTCCCTCTTCCCCAAAGAAGTTGATCCAGAAATTTAAAAAGCCATGCGCATGGAGTTGTTAAATGAGATGAGCAATTTAAAGTGGGGGATTTTGTTGGGAGATGAGAGGCTCCTCATGCTACACGAAGGCCAAGGGCCAGCCGGAAAGAGAGGCAGAGGGACAGCTGAGCGGACATGGTTTGCACGTGGGCTGCCTCTTTCTGCCTATGTGAGCACTAACAGTGGAGAGGAAGAACGGAGAGATGAGATCATGGGGCCCACCCTGCGCCCCACCCTGGTCCTTCGGGCTGCTGGACCCTGGGGTCTGGGATTTCTGGGGACATTTGGTGCCTGGGAGCCCAAGCCCAGAAGCCAGGGTTCTGGAAGCGGCTTTGGCCTCCTCCTTCCTGATTATTGGCCACATTCACCCCAACTTCCTCCGCACTGAAACTGGCTTCTCTTTACTCTGCCCTCCAGCCAGAAAGCCTTGGTTTCCCATATTGCCCTGAATTTTAAAATAGCAATAGAAATTAACAGGGCACTTCTTTCCATCTTAAAAAGCGACCCTCCTCTTTGTTCCTCCTAGACTTCAGCTGCTTCCCCTGGGAGCTGTGGAGGAGGTTCACAAGCTGAGAAGCCTGGGAGCCCGCAAGACCCCCCCATACCTCTTACCCCCCCCAAAGGAGCTCTGGGTCTGCCTATCAGCCCCAGAAAGGCACCCAAACTTTAGAGGCTGCCCCAAAGAAGTGGATAGGCCTGAACATTGCTTGCTTGCTCATATTGTAAAGAAAAATAATAATTAACTGTCAAATTTCTCTAAGGAAAATAATATCACAAGCCTAAAATAGACCCCACAGGGCCCAAAGAATGGAGAGGGCCCTCCCTCCCTTTGGTCACTGCAGCCCCCAGACCCAGCATGAGTATTTATTCTAAGGTATGTCGCTTTTAAGAAGATGTAATCAGCATCTTGAGCCGGGCCTCCCTTTGTGAAGCCTCTGTAACTATGGGAGTGTGATTTACGCAGATTTGTCCGGGTCAGAGCCGTCTTTCCCCTGAGCACTGTGTATATTTAGACAGGGACTCGGTTTGGTGTTTAAAAGTGTATATTTTGAATGAGTTCACACACAGTAGCCAACAATGCCCACATTGTCGGCCCGTGTACAACGTGTATTGAAACGCAGCGTCCAGACTTCAACTAATCTGCCCTCAATAAAGCTGACATAATTATCCTAAGCTGCCTTTCCAGAAGAAAAATCATTGAGGAATTCAAAACTTTTTTTAAAAAAAAGATCTTTTCTACATTCCGATGCAGATCTGTGAGCGAGGTGCGGAGCCCACTGACTGCCCTTTGGAGATCTCAATGAGGGAAGAAGGGAGGTTGAGAGAGAATTTCAATGGGAAAACTAACGTGACTGGGGCTGTGAGTGTGCCGGCCCCTAACCCCGAGCTCCAGCCCTCCTTAGGCCGTGACTCCCCAGCGCCAGGCCCCGGGGCAGAGACGCAGGAGCTGCGCTGGGAGACTCTGGACAGGGTGAGGGGGCCGATACCGGCCGCTCAGCCCGAGGCAGTCGAGGGTCGCTGGTCCTAAATCCACGGACTGAAGCAGAAAAATATTCGCCCAAAGGGAAGACTGGCCAAGCCCTACTTGGGGGGATCTCCCCCCCCCCCCCCATCTCTCTTCCTTCCTGGCCGTGGGTCCTTCTCTGCTCAGCCTCGGAGCTCTGGGCAGTCGTTCACTGCGGGCCCAGACAAGAGCCCTAAGGTTGGGACACAAAAACAGACACTTCATCTTTTCTTCCCGATCCCTTTCTCTCGAAGGGAAAGGATTAAAGGCTGAGGGGTGGGAGGAGGAAGGGGCAGGAGGAGGAAGCGGGGGAGGAAGGAATGAAAAAGGGGAGGGGAGTGGGTATTGTGCCGCGTGTGGGGGGAGCATTCCTACGGGTGGGTTTCCGAATATTGTGTTCAACTTTTTGAAAGCAGCTCGTGACCCCGAAACTGCATCCCCTGGAGCCGAGGACCCCGGCGCCG